ATTTGGTTTATAATAACCACTTGATATATATATATATATATATATATATATATATATATATATATATATATATATATATATATATATATATATATATATATATATATATATATATATATATATATATATATAATTTTGTTTACCTTATCTATTGATTTGAATTTTTAATGACTTGAAAGTTGTTGTATAGTATCCGAGTATTAAAAGACATGGAAGTCGTTTAATATTATATGGAAGTTCTAAAAGACTTTTATTTGTTTATTTTTATTTTTATTTTTAAAGACTTGATGGGAAATACCCACTTGGTTTATAATAACCACCTTTTATATATATATATATATATATATATATATATATATATATATATATATATATGTAATTTGCTAGAGGTGACAAAAAATGAACCAGAAAATCCGAAATCTAATAAAATAGAAACCGAAATAAAATCCAATGTTTTTGGGTTTGAATATTTTTTAAAACCGCAACAGTGAGATCTATTTCGGTTTTAGTATACGTAAAAATCGATATAAACCATATTAGTTTTTCGGTCATAATTTTTTTTTCTTTGAAAAAAATCTGAAAAACCAAATCTATTAAAATTTAATTGTCTAGAAAATAAACACAATCATGAAAATTTTAATTTTAGTTTTAATCATTTATGTTTTTCAAAAAAAACAGAGAAAAATAAATTCTCCAATAATTATAAAAATTTAAGGAATACTTCTACTCATTATTGTAATGACTTTGTAAGAAGATTTTTAAAAAAATAAGGTGCTCGAATTGCTAAACTTGATTTTAAAAGATTAAAAGTTTTTTAAAAAAAATATTGAACATAATATGATCCAAACAGAGATTATTCAAAATATTTGCAGTTCAAAAGTATGATGATTCAATATGTTTATGGTACTTAACTTGTTGTGCACAAAAAATATTTTCATTTAAATATTTAATTATCCTTAATTATTATTTTTTTATGATTTAAAATTAAACGGTTCAAAAAATATAATGATCCAAATGTTGTATTGAACAAAAAGTTTATTTTATTCAATATATTATGATCAAAATTAATATTATCAAAAAATATATGGTCCATAATATCGTTATGATTCAAAATGCTATGATTTAAAATAACTTCATTCGCTATCTTATGATCCACAAATAATATGATTCAAAAAAAATGAAAGGAAAATATTATTATCCTTAATATTCTTCTTATTTTAAATTTTTTAAATGTGAAATATTAAAAAACCCAAAACGATATTTAGTTTACTAAATAAAAAAATCAAGAAGTAAAAACAAAATTAAAGAAAATACCCTACTATCTTCAAGTATATAGTGAACATATTCAAAAAATGAAAAAATAAAGAAAACAAAACCTAAAAAACATTAAAACCGAGCTTATATCTATTAACACAAAATTTGAATTTTTTTTAAACAAAAAAAACCAAAGCGAGTTGTTAAATCATAAAAAGTGACCCTCTTGAACTTTAGCTACCGCAGCCAACAAGCTCCTTCCTCAGCAACCACATTCGGAGTCTCTATCTACCGCAGTCTCTATACTTGATTACCTTACTTGTCTTTTATTGTAATACTCTCAGTTGTCCAGTATGTCTTGCATGGCTACTCTTCGAGATGTAATCTAGTGTACTTAGTGAGTCTCTAAAAGTAGAGATCATTCTCTTGTATTCAAAATATACTTACGCATCTATTATTCTGAATACATATCCCTGAAGTTATATCTTCTATCTCTTTGACTTATACCTCTTACTCTCACATAACCGATTACAATCTCTCCTTGGAGCAAGTCTTTTGTGACTTAATCACTAAGTTTGATCTCACTTAATAACTTGGCTTGAATGCATTCCTCGTTATGAATCAGCTTATGTGCATACTTGATATGACAATTGTTGTCATTTCCATTTCTTTACTTTTCCGCAACTAACTCTCTAAACATTTAACTCTAAATATTATTGTTGAGCTTTTAGATCCTTCGAGATTAACTATTCCGCAATATACTTGTTCTAACGTTTATTCAAGTGTGTCTCAAAGTTTTTCTCTCAACAATTGGTATCAGAGCCATATTGGCTGCTTTTTGAAAAACAGAACTCTAATTTTCCCAAGGGCCTTCTATACCACCGAAGCTCATTTCTTATAGAAAAAAAGAAAAACTTTAAGAATATGGCACATTCGTTATCTCTGAATGTTTCCAACAGTGTTGGTGGTTCTAATCGAGCCTCAATACTGGTTGCAAATGAATATCATCACTGGTCACAAAGAATGGAAACATACTTAAGGAGATTTGGTAGAGACTTATGGCGATCCGTAGAAGAAGGACCACATGTCCGAGTCCTTACACCAATCCAAACTGACGGAGCTACAACCAGACTAGGAGGAGGTAAACAAGTCATGAACCGTCCCACCAAGGATGATCTCGATAAAATCGAAAATGATGTTGTTGCTTTTTATGAAATCTCCTATGGAGTTGCCCCTGACAACTTCGATATTATCATAAATTGCAAATCAGCAAAAGAGATCTGGGAAGTTCTCAAGAATCTGTACGAAGGCTCAGAACAAGCACAAGACAAGAAGCTTACAACTACACTCAATGAGTTCAACAACTTCAAACCTCATATTGGCGAAAGCTTGGAAGACTCCTTCAAAAGATTCAACCTAATAGTCACCAAGTTATCCAATGGGGGCACCGTCCGCAGTAACCATGAAACAAACCTTCAGTTTCTTAATGGTTTGGGAAGACATTGGACTACGGCTAATATGATAGTCCAAGGCGATAGAAAGATACATTCTTTGTCACTTTACGAGCTCTATGGAGAACTGCAAACGCAAGAATCCACTGTACTCAAAGACTGTGCTAACTTCGGAGGATCTCTTGCTCTCACAGCACAAGCTCCACATAATCAATCTTACTCTCCCTCATATGACACTCCACCGCAGTCATATGAAGTTGATTTAGAGTATGATGATGAAGACGAATTTCAAAAGGCTATTGCTCTAGTTAGCAAACAATTCAACTGACTACCACCTCATTTTTTTTCACAAAAATCAACAATTCATCAAACCACCTTTCAAACGTAACTTCAACCCACAAAACAATCACTCTCATTATCCTAAAAGTTCTCATCCATCACCACAATCTCAAAATACTCAACCAAAGGAAGCACCGCAGTCTACTCAAACCACTGACTCCGGTACTCCCTCAGAAGACAAGACTGATGTTGTAGTTTGCCACAAATGCAACAAAGAGAATAATTTTGCAAGATATTGTAAGGCAAATCTAGTAAAAGGCAGAGCATTCAACCTTAGAATGGCTCAAGATTTGGAAGAAAAGGAAAAGGAAAGAGATCGGTCTACAAAGTTGGACAAAAACTACTGCTACATGGCAAAAGATGGAACTCTAAGCATCGTCAAATAGGTAAAGCTCATGTTCCAAACTCTAAACTATAGCTTGCATGTCTGTTAACCTTACATAGATGATCTTAATGACACATGTGCTACCGTCCTTACCGACTATAACAATGCCTTAGATGAGAAGAACATCGCGTCCCAGGAGATGTTCCATGTGAGAGGACGACTAGATAACAAAAGACTCAAAATGGCTATGTTAGAAAAAGGACTTAGGGTTAGAAAAAGATGCAAGAATGTTAAGTGTAACACAATTAGAGATAGCTTTGAACCATCACTACTAGAAAAACAGCCTTTTATGACGCTCATTGCGCGTCGTAAAATGCTCAGACGATGCGCAAATGCGCGTCAAGGAAGGCCCTGTCATAAAGAGAGACGACGCGCTTTTGCGCATCGTCTATAGACGACTCGCATTTATGACTCGCATTTACGACGCGCGGTTATGACACGCAATGCGTATCAAGGAAGGCCCTATCATAAAGGAAGACGACACGCATGTGCGTGTCGTAACCTTACGACGCGCATGTTTATGATACACAATGCGTATCAAGGAAGCCCCTGTCAAGAAAGGCCATGTCATAAATGAAGACGACACACATTTTTGCGTATCGTAATTTTAATTTTTTTTAAAAAAAAATTATTTATAGATTAACTGATTTTCAAATTAAATTTGCATTTTATGTCTCATAATAGAGAATAAAATATCATATACAAAAAATACAATACATTACACAAAAGTTAATGTAATACAAATAATCATTCCAATAGTAGACAAATGTAACATTTCAACATTTTTTATATAATTAACTAAATTATTAGCCAAATTTCCTAAAATAACATCATACTTTTCTATGAAGAGCATTAACACTATTTTTTTCCATCAAAAACTTCAAAACCTGGATAATTAAATTAATGTGTAATCAGCTACAAAAATTTGTGTGAGCATATGGATAATTCTTTATAAACACCACATAGAGGTATATAAGTGAAGTCAGAAGTCAGAACTGTAAGTAAGGCTAAAGATGCAACAACTCACATTGAAAAGGTAATTTTACCTACGCATCTCTTTCACCCATCAACTACAGTACATCAGATTGCCTTCGTCTTAATGCTTCTAGTTCTGCTTTTAGGCCATACAACATACACTTTTGACCATAATTTTTCACACTGCACCAAAAAGAAGCATATGATATCAAAGGGTAATATAGACATTTATCATCCAAAATGTATAACATAATGAAAAGAAAGGAAACTCTACCTCCTCTGTCAAATTAACCAACGCCTCAGCAAGAGAGTCATGAATGGATTCCATGGATGCCTAAATGCTACAAATTAAAACAAAACCCTTGATTTAGTTGTTGTCCCTATTTTTCACCAATCTTACCTGTATAATGATGGATATATAAATTAACATATTTTTCATCAGTTGATATAGCACATGCCTAACCAAGATTCACCAAATAGCACCCAAAATGTATTAGCACTTCTGTTAAAAGAATGTTAAAAGTTTTAGTAATCAGTTAATCATCACATCACTTTCTTCTTTACACTTATGCATTGATGAAGCCATCCAGACACATCTACAAGTGCAGCAACGTGACCTGATATAGATGTGTCTCCACATATTGTTCCACATAAGCACCAATTTTATCTCCTAGTGTAATTGATAACAGATGGAGCATCCAGAAGGATGGAATTGTATCCTGAACCTCTACCACCTCTTTAATCTGTCAACAGAAACAAAAATGTTTAGATTCAATCAAAAAATCACCAATAATCAATCTTCAACATAATATCCAAATATTCACTTAATACCACTTTCAAGTAAAAAAGATAAGATAGTAGTGCACGAAAAGAACCTAGCATTTAGGGTTTAGGGTTTAGGGCATGAAAGTAGAAAATAGTATATATTGCACCCTTAAAATCTTCATCCCATTAATTTATGTTAAACTGGTGCCAATTACTAACCTGGATCTTTAGCAATAAAGCTCAAGACATGGTTAACGAAATTGCCTAAATTATTCAGCAACTCAGTGTTGAGTTTTGCTTGAAGATCTGTCCATGTGAATAATATGTCAGATACCTACACAAGTAAACCCAATAATCAATGAAAGAGAAGGAAACAAGAAAAAAAAGTGAGAGATCACATTTTTAATTTATATACTGAATAAAAGTTACACCTCTGGTCTATTAGTTAGCAAATAGTATCTCCACACATCTACTGGAATATTTGTATCCTGTGCATCATTACCAAAGACTCCTACACCCTTGATCTTTGAAAACTTACCTTTAAAAGAAATGGGGTTTGTTTATCATGAAAAGAATATATTTTGGGGTTGAATAGAGGCATAGAACAAACCTCCTTCATAGTTTAGATACTCTGTATCACATATAGTCTTCAACAAAGTCCAGTTCTCAGAAGTTCAAAGAAGTGTAGAAGGGAAAGCAATTTGTCCCACATCGTTGGTGTCAAATAAGAAAGGAAAAGAAAGGTGGAAGCAATATAAAATAGGAAGGCTTGTGAAGATACAAGCGCACCAGAAAAACAAATCTATTCTTGGAGGCTACCGAGTTATTTTTATTTTGGACATGCACTCGTCTGGTTTGGATTCGATCTAAAAGGGACTGGTTTGTTTTTGGACCAGTTTAATATTGGACCTATTTAGGATCGGTTTTGGACTGCCATGTGTAACATTTTGAAGGACAGAGTAGGACTTTTGTCCGGACTGAACAGTCCAGGACTGGTCCAGGACCAATTTAGTTCATATACATATTTTTAGGATCAGTTTGGACTAATTCTTTTGCCCACCTATACCTCATACTACTTGAAAAGTTTTCCCCAGGCACATTTCATCTGCTAGAAGTTCTTTGACACTGCAACATTGAACCGATGATGAGTTTGAAAAAATAAAACAACTGATTAAAGCCAAGAGCAATAACATACAAGGAAATAAAAAAGTTAATGATGTACCTATGAAACATCAAATAGTACTTTTCATTGCTCTCCATGTAATGCTGTAGAAGCCAAAATATTTATTAATAAGATATTAAAAGTCAAACAAAGGTTATAAGAGTGTAAAGTAACAAAAGATAGAACATATCTTGGCCGGATCTGTTTCGTCTTCATTCTCAATAGTAAATTCGCTATTATCATTTAGACCATTATCTGCTTCAAAGGCTCTGCTGATCCAAACTTCTGGAGATACTTCTCGGTCTCTTTCAATAGTTTCTTCAATCGATCCGACTTTGCATCCTATAAAATCAATTTTTATTTTTATTTTTATTTTATTTGAATTCAGATCTTTGTTGAGTTGTATTAATAAGATCAGAGCTCACCTTAAAATATTACACCATTGACAACTTCCGTTTCACCTTTTCTACTTGTTTTTTTCATAGAGATTCACTCATTAACATAATACATGCATAAATAAATGTATGTATGTATGTGTGTGTTAAAAGAATTATACCTGTGTTTTAGCAGAAATTGTTGCTTTTCGACAACCTATAACGAGTTTTTCTCCTGGATCCAATCGACTACATATAACTGCAAAATGATAGAAAAGTTAATAAAATTATATATATAGAAGATGAGAAATGAGTATAAGAATATAAGGATACTCCCCAGGGACAAGGGTATAAATGGAAACAGCATGACTGCAAGCCAAAATCAGAAGATCCTGAAATCAAATAGAGAAGTAAATATACAAAATACATTTTCCAGCGATAAGGGTACAAATGGAAACAACAGTACCTGTAATATGCGACACTGAAAAGTCTTTGGTACACGTGGAAGTGAACTCAAAAGAACCAACAGAAGTTGTGAGTGCTCAAAGCGATGTTGTGAGTCATAGAAGTTTAGTCCCTCATCTGTTGTGGATGCATTTAACTGGTACAAAAAGATACTATTTTTTAGTTTGTTAAAAGGGGAAAAAAATTCATATATACAATACTGAATATGAAGTCATACCGAGGCGCCCAATAAAGCCAGGTAGGCATTGTTAGTCATAAGCCGGTTAGGTGCCGCCTGAAAAGCCCTTTGCAAAGCATAACGTAGAAGTGAAACTTTATCTTCAAACATAGAAGTTTAGGCCCTGCCTGAAATGCCCTTGCAACCTAAAATTAGAGTACATTACAAAAATGGTCTATGTGCTTTCTGATGTTTATCATGTTTGGTCCAAAGTTGGTGCATTTTTCAGTTATGGTCCTAATTTCAAGGTTTCATTTCGATTTTAGTCTTTATTTCAAGGTCCCAAGGACTGAAACTATAAAAGAATTCAATTTTTGACTAAACATGGTTAACACATGAACCATTTTGTAAGTTCCTGCCACTTCCTTGATCAAATAAGCATTAATATGTATCAACTGAAAACATAAACACACCTAATCAAACATCGATGAATTAACTTACATATATACACATAAATATATGTTCATACCTGGTTTGGAGTGAAGAAGGCCATGGCTAGGGGAATTAGCCTAGGGGGGGGAATGATCAATTCCATTCCTTTACACGCAATCACATTTAGAGCTTCACGCCCATAAAACTACCTATCGATATTCAACTTGTCCTCATCTTGATGATCTAAAGTAGCATAAAACATATCGAACATTGAAGAGAAATGAAAAAGAACCTCCTTGAAACGAGTCACAAAAAATAGAGAACTATAAGAGCGTGAGGAAAGATTTTGTGAGGTGAGATTTGAGGAGGTGAAGTGTGAAGAAAGCTATGGGGGCTAGGTTTCCTTTACGATTCTAGGGTTTGATGAATTGTGTTAATCGAACGATACAGCCTAGGCGGAAACTGCTTACTGTTTCATGGGACCTTCTTTGAGAATTTTAACAAACACTGAGCATACACCGGCGTTCAACGCTCTCATGATTACGACCTAGCAATCCGATTGCAGATGCAGTGTTCTCCTAACCTTCTGGGGATCGAGAAATGAAGGAGAAGAAAGTTTCGAGAGAGGAAAAGCCTGAGAACCATTTGAAGAAGTTAACGAATTCAGATGAGAAATTAGGGCTCGTATGAAGCGGTATCTCTTCCGTCGAGAACCCCTGTGGGTTTGATCTGTTCAAAAGATGGGATCATATTGCGATTCTGTTGTGGGAAAAAAGAGGATTGGTGATGTTATTAGGTTTTTTTGGGTATTAGAGTGAGAGAGATAGAGAGGGAAAGAGAGAGAGAGAGAGAAAGAAAGAGAGAGAGAGAGAGAGAGAGAGAGAGAGAGAGAGAGAGAGAGAGAAGAACGATGGAAATAAGGCAGAGGGTAACAATGGCGGCCTTTCAAACGTTTGGGATTTTCGTTTCCCCCTAGCTGCAAAAGAAGAGAACGCGCCTTTCATTAAACAAATATAAGGCGACATTTCTAGATGACACCCATTTTTAAATAAGTGCCCTCCGTGTTTTTATTTTTTTCTTGTTCGACATTAATTTTAGGGCACGCATAAAAGCGTGTCCACTATCCTTCAAATTTTAGAAGAGATAACATTATTTTTAGGGCACACACTTTTGTGTATCGTAAATCACCGTGTGTCATTGTTTGCACGTCATTAAAGGGTAGTTTTCTAGTAGTGCAGAGAGATTTAGCTCAAAGTGAAATTGTATGTTTAAATCTCTTAATCGAAAAAATTGGTCAATGAAAGTGAAGCTATTAAGAATTTGGTAAATAATGGAACTGTGGACAACACATATAATTGGGGTTGGTCTAATGGATATCCTACCGAAATGGATTCCTCACCCCCGTTCAAGAAAGACAGACTGTATGTCCCCCCAGACCGAGAATTTAATTTCCCAGTCAATGACAAGACCCTTCCCGACGATATCAAAACTCACTTCTGTAGACTGCATAATCTAAGCAATAATTGTGTCATTGAGGAAATTGTGCCTGAGGTTTCAGGTCACACATGTGATCAAATTCCTATCTGTGGCACCACTTACCCAAATTCTCAAACCTCATCCGTAGTTGATGAAGAAATTGTCATTGAGGGCACCGAAGTCTCGAAAGACATTCCATCTCTGTCCTCAGACCGTAGTGTCTCGCACTGCAATCAAAAGTCCCACAAAAGTCCCACTGAAGTCCCAACTAAGACTTACTCTACGGTAGTCAAGTTATCCCTACCACAGTCTTCGAACAAAAGTTCTGCCACTCTTTAAGCAATTCATCATGAATTACCTATAGAAAACTTTGAAGTGGGTCAATTTTCTCAAATCCCTGAATCTTCAAGTTTGGATGATTCAAGCCCATATTTTCAAAAAAATTCAAATGGTTCTAGGAAACCGCAGTTGAACAACAAAGACTGCGGTTCACCAAAATCTTTAGCTAAAACGGCTTTTGAAGAAGAAATTCGCTCCCGAGGCACAAATAGACAATTTTTTTTCAAAAAGAAAGAAGCATGTCAGATTTCAAAAGTCCAACAGTCCAGAAAAATTTATTTTCTCTCACTATTTCTCAAAAAACTCTATCTTCAAGAAAACACACAAAAAGGAATGTACAGTTTCATCAGTCATTCCTAATTTATATGACACTACCTAAAAAAGTGTAAAGTCTTTTCGAAACAATGGTTTTCAAATCTATTCCTCGGATGATCCAAAATGGAAAGGTATCTTACCCACTCCAACACTTTTAAAGTCACATCCAAATTCTAACAAGTGGAAGGGTATTCTACCAAATCCAACAAAAAGGACATAAAGATCTACACATGCTAAATCTTTTTCAAAAAAAACTTTTCAGAAACCGAACTACACTCATGTCAGATCTTTTCAACCACAGACTAGTCACAAGCCCAACTACTCATTCTTTAGACCGCTAACCAAACGTAGTGTCAGAAGAAAAGACAAAATCTCAACCTGTGAATGTCAGTATAGTTGCCAAAAAGATTCATCCTATGTCAAATCTGGTTAGAATCAAAAACCTCGTAACTTTTCAAAAGCACACAACACTCCAAAACCACACAAACACTCAGGACTAGGTTTAAAAGTTGACACGAAACCAATCCCGACAACCTCGGTCCATGCATCATTCACAAACTCGTCTGTTATTACAGGCTCCAAACTATTTTGGATGCCTAAAATAACTGTGTAATTCTCAGGCTTTGTGCAAGGAGGAACAAGAAGATGAATGGTTAATCGACAGTGCCTACTCCTTGCACATGACCGGAAGGTTACAATACCTTCGAGATTTCAGGCCAATCTGCAACGGTGGAAATCTTATATTCGACAACAATGCGAATGGAATCTTCTGAGGTTATGGTGTACTCACTACAAGGAACTTCTCTATTCAAAAGGTTGCTTATGTAGAAAGCCTCAAACACAATCTCATCAGTGTCGGCCAACTATGTAAGGCAGGCCATCGAGTTGAATTTGATGATTAATTTTGTTATGTAATGACAAGTGATAGGAGCACATGTTTGATCAAGTCTCGATCCGAGGGTACTATGTATCCTCTGGATGTCTCTCTGATCATAGGAAAACCGTAGCTATGTTTCCTTTCCAAAGCTGTATTCGAAGTCAGCTGGCTATGGCGCCGCAAGCTAGCTCATCTCAACTTTAGATACATCAACACTTTGGTCACTGGAGAACTAGTCAGTGGACTCCCTATTCTCAAGTTCAGCAATGATACTCTATGTCCTGCATGTGAATGTGGTAAGCAATCCAAAGCAAGTCATCCCATGGTGATTGACTCTTCAATTTCTGAACCACTTGAGATCCTACACATTGATATCTACGGTCCATCAACCGTAGCCAGTCTCCATCACAAAAAGTACATACTGATTATAGTAGATGACTTCACTCGCTTCACATGGGTTTTCTTCCTCAGACATAAGTCAGAAACACCGCAAATTCTTATCAACTTCATCAAGGAAATAGAAAATCAGATCAAGCTTCCAGTAAGACATATCCGCAGTGATAATGGAACCGAGTTCACTAATCATCCTCTCAACAGTTTCTTGGTGTCCAAACACATCACTCACAACTTTTCACCTCCATATGCACCACAACCCATGGAGTATTAGAGAGAAGGAACCGTACACTAGTAGAAGCAGCCAGATCCATGCTCAACTTCGCACACCTTCCTCTCTACTTTTGGGCTGAAGCTATAGCAACCACATGCTTTGTACAAAACCAAAGTATTGTGTGCAAACGCCTCAACACCGTATGAGGGCCTTAACAACCACAAACCAAATGTTCGTTTCTTTCATATCTTTGGGTGTAGATGTTTTTGTTGGGTTTTGAGCATTCTAACACTCCTAAGTGTACATGCAACCCTAAATACCTTGGATCTATGTTTTCTCTATTATACATGCAAATAAGAACTTCCAAGGTATTATCCTAATCTAGCATACAAAAACAATGACTATAGCAAGATAGAATACATACCTCTTTGGTGTAGAAAGTCTTCATGAAGCTTGAGTGCCAAGTGCCCCAAGTGTGACACCTCAAATGGTTCACACAACACCAAATACACATGGAATGACTTGAGAGAATTCTACACTTCATGAAAATCGGCTAGCCCTTTCTTACTATCTCTAGTGGCCAATTTTGGTCAAGAATAAGATGCTTATATAGTTAGGGTTACACCATGTAAACCCTAATTGACATGGCCTTTCATTTCCATGATCCATGGGTACAAATACACCATGGAGCATCCATGAACCATCCTATGGGTTTTAGCCCAACTTGATTATCCATGGAGCATTAGCCCACTATACAAGTATGGATGATTTACACAATCAACCTATATATTTAATTAGTCTTCTTTTGATCACTTAATTAATCCTAGATTAATTCTTGATCAATACTAATTAAATAATCTCATTATTCTTATTATTAATATACCAGAACTTATAATATATTGATATCCATAAGTGTCTTATTTCTCTCATTTAGTCTATCCAAGTGCATGATGCCATGCAACCCAAATGGACCATGCCGGGTCGGGTCAAGTCTTACCAATTATAGTTATGGACTTAGACATTAATCCAACAGTTTTGTGATCAACAATAGAGATCAGCTTAACAAATTTGCACCAAAGTCTGATGAAGGTATCTTTCTTGGCTATTCCACGAACAAGGTTGCTT